GGTGAAGAGGAAGGCCGCTCGTTTGCTCCCCGCGAGAACGGATGAGTGTTCCTGGCAGCTAGGGGTGGGAGGGAGGGTGCTCATTGCAATTCGGGTCCTTCTCCGCTCCTCTCCAACTCGCCATGGACTGCGGAGGCAGCTAGGAGTTGGGATGTGCCGAACGTTTATCGAAACTCGGGTTCGACTAGTTCGGCCAAACTTCGAAAATGATAATGTTCCTCGACTTCCACAATAAAAATTAATTTGAGATTTTGGGAAAATATTATTGACGAAATTGTGTGTTTTATGTATAATAGAATAATTAACAATGTTTACAGTAACAAAAAGGCAAATCTCAGTTCTTTCTTAATTTAGTTATATGTAAAATTTTGAGCCGCTCCTCTGCCAGGTGGTGTCAGCTGGTTTTTAATTCATTCACATGCGCATGATATTCCAGCTTCTGTCCAGCTTCTGTTCAACTTCTGTCCGACTTCTGTCCGACTTCTGTCCGACTTCTGTCCGACTTCTGTCCGACTTCTGTCCGACTACTGTCCGACTACTGTCCGACTTCTGTCCGACTTCTGTCCGACTTCTGTCCGACTTCTGTCCGACTTCTGTCCGACTTCTGTCCAACTTCTGTCCAACTTCTGTCCAACTTCTGTCCAACTTCTGTCCAACTTCTGTCCAACTTCTGTCCAACTTCTGTCCAACTTCTGTCCAACTTCTGTCCAACTTCTGTCCAACATCTGTCCAACATCTGTCCAACTTCTGTCCAACTTCTGTCCAACTTCTGTCCAACTTCTGTCCAACTTGCGTCCAACTTGCGTCCAACTTGCGTCCAACTTGCGTCCAACTTGCGTCCAACTTGCGTCCAACTTGCGTCCAACTTCCGTCCAACTTCCGTCCAACTTATGTTCAACTTATGTCTGATTCCTGTTGAGTCTAACTTGTGCCTAACTTCTGCCGCGCCTGTTTTGCACTCGTGTCGGACGTCGGATAGAAAGTTCGAAAAAGCTCAGCTCAAACTCCGGCAGGTTTCCGACATCTCTATATCTGGTTTTAGGTGTTAAGCATTCAGGGGAAGCTCCTCCCATTCCTATTTACTTTAGCAGAGCGAACACGGGGGACGAGGTAGCCTCCTCCCCCTCGCCCGCTGACAAAGAGGTGGGAGGACCTTCTCCTGGACTCTTCACCTGTCACCAACAATAGCTAAAGGCCAACTGATTGAGTCACGTGGCGCGTCAGCGAAATCTACGCCACGAATTTCTTCCCCCGGATCAACCAACCAGCTGCCGAGAACCCGTCGCATCAGTGCAAACTTGTCAGCTGGACCGGTCAGGCACGTTGGAAAGGAGCGTTATTGGTTTTGATCGGGTCCCAAATGTGCGAACGCGTGTGTGCGTAGCTTCTGCTTCGGTCCATCTGGAGGTCTCTTGGGAGAATTTAGGCGGTTCCTGGTTACAGCTGCAGGAACTGAAGAGGTCCTATTGAGGAGTCCCTCTTCAGCAGAGCCGGCCGAGACTCGCAATCGGTCGCGCGTGCAACTAAAACCGTTTTATTTATTTATTTATTTTTTTTTTTTTTTGGGGGGGGGGGGTATTTCAGGATTGTATTATATGGCTCACGCTTTATAGACCATTCCAATAGCCACCTTCTACCGCTGCCATCTTCGTCTTCATGGGCTGCGAAACGCGTTTTGAACATGCGCAGTAGCTCTTGTGTACAGACGTGTACGCGTTATTAAAAAAAAACTAAACTAAGTACAGTCCCTCTTTATTCACTCAAAAGGGTAACGAATTACGTTACTCGTTACTAAGATCCAAAAGGAAAGGCCTTACTTCAGCTCAAAAGCAACGAGTTTCTTTTTCGGGGTTTCGCACTGCGCATGCACAGAACTTGTACGCTCGCGCAGCGCTTCGACATCCTTAATTCCAGTTACGCTTAAACATAGTTACCAGACTGTACTCTTATACCCCTGTTACACGGCACCCTTAACCGCGGTTAACTCAGCTTTAACTGCTGTTACGCGGCACTGCCGTTGCAGCACTATTGGCGACGTACGCGATCGAAAGCGTTGCTGTGGTCGGCCTTCCAGGATTGAGCGAATGCTGACCATGACGTCAGCAAAGGTTTTCCTATTGGCGGAAATAAGAGGAATGTAAGAGTTCTAATTTTGACGGTGTTGGCAGTCTTGCTTTGGGAGTGCAATGATTTCGAGTTTCCACTATATGCTAATGCCAACACCGTCGAACTTGTTTTTCGCAAGGTAATGACGTCACGAGAGAGAACTATAGAGTTCCTGTATAGGCTCCCTACGGGAGCCAGAGTTCCGCGTTCATCACCGTAGTGCCGTCTTTCCGGCAAGGCATGTTGATCCAGCTTGTCACGTGACTGAATTCGGCGAATAGCAGCGCGGCGCGCTCAAAAGCAGGGGAACGTTCGGCGGGACGCGCGCAACGTCTGCGTTCCCTCACGGCGCTTGATCCGGCTCATCACGTGACCAGATCTCGGCGAATAGCGGCGCGGCGGCATGTGGAAAACAGACGCGCAACTCTGGCTCCCGAAGGGGGCCTATACAGGAACTCTAGAGAGAACCATAGGAGGGCGCCACCAAAACATCTCGCAGCTAATACTCTCGGACAGCTATTTCAGAAGAAATGAAGAGCGCGCGTGCAGTGCTTTGATGGATGATCAGGATACTCCAGCGCACGTGCGCCCGTAGGTTTGAGTGCATAGCCACAAAATGTTGTCCCCAAGAATTGTGTGCTAGTTGTGGCTGAGCGTAACTGCAGTTAGCCGCCTCGGTGGCTCCGAGGCGAGAGCGCCGGCCTACGGATCCCCATGTGGCGGGTTCGAATTCCGGCCGAGGTGGCCGCAATCTGACGGAGGCTTATTGCGGAAAAGGCGCCGTGTAACCGAGCTTTCGGTTGCACGTCAAAATATCCCCAGGTGGTCGAAATTAATCCCAAGTCCTCCGCTGGGTCGTGCCAGATGCCCGTCGTTGGTTTGGCACGTAAAACTCCCAAATCTTACTTTCACTTCGACTTTGGCGTAACGGCAGTTAAGTGTGCCCGTGCAACGAGGGTAGGACAATTTTATGTGGCTATGCGGTCGAGGCTATGGGCGCAGTGCGCTTGCACACTTTGAGCAGCCATCAAACCTGCGCACGAGCACTCCTTAAACTCTCTACTTCTTAAATGAGCTGTCTGAGGGCGTAGTGTTCTAATTGTGGTTGAGCGTAACTTCAGTTAAGGGTGACTTAAGTGCGGTTAAAGTGCCCGTGTAACTATTCCTATACTCCGCGACAACTTTTCTTGGCGATGCAGTGGAAGGTACGTCCCGCGTCCCCTCTCCCATTTTGAGTGTACGCAGGCTCTCCTCCTCTCCCCGGAAATGGGGGAGGAGGAGAGCCTGCGTACACTCAAAATGGGAGAGGGGACGCGAGACGTACCTTCCACTGCATTGCCAAGAAAAGTTGTCGCGGAATATAGCTTTTAACGCGTTGAAGGGCATCTATTCTAATCTTTTTTTGATGCTACCTTCCCGTCAATGTCACAGGTGCGAGCTAAGGGGATAGCCAAATTGAGGTAACTTGAGTTGTACACGTTCCTCTCCAGGAGGAGCCAAATATAGTCACTCGGTACTCTATCAAAAGGTAACGAAAATACGTTACTCGTTCCCACTCAGTAAAAATGTAACTAAGCCGTTACTTCGTTAGTGAAGAAAGTGACTGAAGAGAAGCAATGCGTTAAGTACAAGTCTGCTCCTGTGGAATATCAGACGCTGTGCAAACGACTATGAGCCATTAAGTGACTTGGCAGTTTTCTCTAGGGAAAAGTGATTATGAATTCGCTTTTGTGGGCCTCCTATTTTGCGTTGCTGGCAGTTGGCAAACTCCTACAAGACCTAGATCGCCGTCCACTTTAATGTTCGTCTTGAAGATTGCGAAACGAGCTGCTCTTTAGAACATCTTAATCGTAACCTTCTGCGCGCTGCCATCTTTGTCGTCTGGGCTATGGAAGGTGTTCTGAACACGCACCGTAACTGCCTTCTGTCGTCTGATATTCGACGGACGTAGCGGACGGATGCGTCCGCTGCTGACTCAGCATGGCTTTGCCCGCGTGCTAAGTGATGAAAAGCCGTATACTAATTTTTTTTTTTTTTTTTTTGCGCTTCGGTTTTGCGTTGCTTGGCGCCAATGCTTCGCTACATTCTGCTGTCTTGCAAACTCCTGCAATTCCTAGCCTGTGAAGACTGAACCCGTCTCCCTCCCCTTCAATGCACCTACAGCACATATTGTGGCATATCTTTCGTACCATCGACTTTGTACAGAAGGCCTAATAGGAGTGACTTCAAGCACAATTTGTTGACGTAACATGCAAGCTATGTATCCCAGCACCTAAGTAGCGAGGCTGTAATGCTTTATTTTTGACTTCACTGGAGGCCAGAATATAGACGCTTTGCAGCAGTTGTGCATGGACGCCGCCATAACTGACCTTCAGTTTTTGTTTCCTCTTATTTCGTTTATTTCACTTCATCATTACCATACCAGGCCAGGTTTTTGCCACATTAGATTAGACTGTATCCTTTTCTAAAGCATCGGCCTTTGTAGAGGATCGTCAACTACCGTTTCAGTTGCTCGGCATATCGGTAAGTCAAGAGAAGGTCAGCAATGGCGACTGTAATCTGGCGCGTGTGTAAAGCGTCTATAGCTCAACGCTAGCGCGGTACTCGGTCCAATTTCTGCCACTTACTGGCTTCTGGTATGCGACGTCACGGACGCTGCACTACGACCTTGTTATGTAGGAGGCATGGTCTACTTATTGCTCATTGGCTTCAAGACTGAAGCTTGTGTTGGTTGTAAAGCATACTAACAGGGTTGTGTGTGCGTGTGCTCGTCTCTTTCATATTCGTCATTTCTGTGCGCTGTTCTCGTCGTTTAAAAAAAACTCGTTGCCCTCGTAATGTGGCGCTGCACTTTCGAAGAAGTTGGGGAACCCATTCTGAAGCTTGTCCTTCAGGTTTCCTTCGCCGTGCCTTCCTCGTCGTCGCGGTGGTCCGAGTGGAGCCCCTGGTCATCCTGCAGTCGGACCTGTGGTGGTGGCGTGGCGTTCAGGTCTCGGACGTGCGAGATCAGGTAATGCACCAGCCCGGACATCAAGTCTTAAGCCGCGTTCACACTTCTAATATATTCTACAAAAACGTCTGCAGACACACTCCGAGGCGTACAAGAAAGGCTGAAGTCTGGCAGCCTAGGCTAGATGGCACAAGGTACTGCCCGTTACAAAGGGTATAGCCATCTACATCCATCCATTCATCAATTCATCCATCCTTTCTTGTATGCCACACTTTCATATTGCTCATACAAAAACTGTCTGCAGACGTGTTCGAAAAATATATATTTATGACGCAAACATGCTTCGGCCCTACGAAGGCCCAAAGGCCTTCAGGATGGTTAAAGCACAGTTATGGCTGCCAGCGAATACTCCCCGTGGCTTTGACCAAACTACCACACCACACCACCCTGGGGGTGGTGGAAAAACTCAGTAAAATCCTAGTTGCCCACTTAAAATTAGGTTTTTTTAGAGCGCAGCTCTTAGACGCCCGTTTCCGACTTGAGCGGCGTCGCTGTCGCCGTCTCCGTCGGCGTAACCGCGTGGTGCATTATGGGAAATGTCCCATAATGGGAAGGGAGGAGGGGGAAGAGAAGGGAAGAAAAGAGGAGGAATAAGGAGAGGAGGGAGGGGAGGAGGGAGGAGAGGGGAGGAGCTTGAAGGATGAGGGGAGGGGGAGGTGAAGGAGGAGGAGCCGGGCAGGAAGAGGGAAGGAGGAGTAGCAGGCAGGATGAGGAGGTAAGGATAAAGGAGGGGTATACCCTCCCTTCAGTACCCGGCCTTTTCTCCTCCTCCTCAAGGGCTGCGCTCTAATTCGGCATTACACAGTGTTGCAAACGCCTTTCATTTTTTATTGCCTTTCTTCAATATTGAAAAAGCGGTACATAATGAAAACCGAACGTTAATGGAGTTGTAGGGTTAAAATAAAAAGTATTTATACGTTTTTTTTTTTTTGCTCAATAACTCACTTGTTTGGGTATCAATTCTTGCAACAGTGGGCTGATGATCGACTCCCAGTTGAGCGACGAGAGCAAAACAAAAAGGTACGTACTCAGGTTCAACGGGCCTTTCAGTCGCGAATATTGACCCCTGTACTTTCTACGTATGTTTGATTATCTCACTTGCGAGCTTCTTAAACACTTTGAGAATTTAGCATCCATACAATTCTCTTTATCAAGTCGAGTTCAAAAGTATCCGGCTTGGCATATAAAAATCGCGACAATCTTAAAAGCACTGAATGACAGGTAGCCCCATCTACATGGAGATTGGCATACGCGTTCGAAATCCGTACCTACATTATTTGACTGGAAAAACTCGCTTGAAAAACTTCCGACACTCTAAGTGGCGCCTATGTTCATTATTGAGTAGGGAACTTTGTTAAGGTTTCGGGATTCTGTTGAGCTAGTTGGTTAAAACTTGTTAGTGTAGGAATGTGACCGTGTACGCTCCGTTACCTTCGTTATTTATAAAAAAAAAAAAAAAAAAACGCGTTTCAGGGTAACAATTTGTTTTAGTTCTTCACCAATACTCTTTCCTCCTCGTGCTACTAATTAACGATTCGATGATTTTATGAGGCGGTTTGCTTTTTATATTATACCATGAAGAAATGATAACATTTGTTTGGGAAGAAAAAGCCTCACAAATGATCCTCGTGATGGTCAGATCGTGGAAGTGATGATCGAGCGAAATATGTTTCTTGTTGAAGATATGCTTAATATGTTGGAGTTTAAAGATGTAAATCAATCAATCCTTCGGGTTTTGGTACCCAATCAGTCTTGAATTAAGAAAAAAAAACATTTCATAACGCGTCTAAACCCGTAGACTCTTTGGTAGTGGGTAGATTTGGATATACATAGAACTTCAAAATATTTCAGCATGGTTGACTTCCTAAAACAACCGCGCTTCGCATAATTTACGAGCACTTTGTTTTCCGGTGTACATGAGGCCTGATTCACCTCGGGCGCTGTATTTCGATGTAGCAGTATGCTTTGGTAATTTTTAACAGTAATTGAATCACTATTACTTTGCTTCTTGCCTACTTGTATTCATTACCTTAACTAGAAGTAGTGGAAGTTCAAATTTCGTTATTTTTTTTCAGCTATCGCAAAAAGTATAATGAGAGTTACAGGTACCTTTTATGATTTTTTTTCAGTCTAGAGTTCTATCCTAAACTCCATTTCATGAACATCTGTAGAGGCTGACAAAGACACGGGTGCAAGTTCGTGGCTTTGGAAAGCACTTATGCGCGAGTCATGGCATGAGCAAAGCTGCTGAACTAAGGTGCCCGTATGTTATTTCCGCTGCAGTTTGTTCGTTTCATTTTTTTATGATGCCCATCAATTCCCGTGATGTATAACACAAGACAAACAACAAAGAGCACATCAAATATTCTAACACTATACCGGCTGCTTAAGTGAAGATTTTCAGAAATCTTTAAGAATATACTGCATCAGATATAAAGAAACTCGTTTTTGGAACAAACTTCTGGCTACACATACGTCAGGGGTTGAACAACCATACTAATTACTTAACACGTTAAAAAAAATTACCATACAACTTTTTGAACGCTCAGTTTGGTGGCCAGTACAAATGCGAAGTTTGGTGCTGCAGGCAGAACAATCCCGTTTTTTGGAGGGACCATAACATTAATTTGGGCTCTGATGAGTGTTTTAGATTGGTATTTTACTAATCTTATGTCATTCAGTGGGCCAAAAGTGTGCTTTTCGGTACAAAAATCATCAGTCATTCCACTCTGTGAAAGTAGATGACAAGCAGAGCTGTTCAGCACACGACAGACATAACAGAGATTTGAACAAATGTACGAACAAATTTATTTTCTTGATCGGTGGTCATCGTGACGAAAGGTACGAAAACATGCAGGACTATCTCCACCCCGAAAAGCCGGAGAAAACTAGACACGCGCGACAGAACTGCCGCCCGGCAGAAGGAAAGGAAACTAGGCACGCAAGTGGCTTGGAACGACGGCAAAGAGAGGGCAGTGCGAGCCCCCTTTGAGTTGGAGGAAACTAGACACGCGCGACGGGACCACCACTTGGTGGATAGAGAGGGAATTAGGCACGCAAACGTTTGGAACGGCGACAAAGAGAGGGCGGTGGGAGCCCGCTCTGAGTTTTTGTTAACGCAAATGAAAAGTCCACGGAACCCTAGCCATAAGCAGCTTCGCTGTAAAAGTTGGAAAATAGAGCGGACTATTTCTTGCCTCCTTTCCATCGCAAGCCCTCCGCGTTTTTACTGTGATGCATCCGCTGTGATCAAGCACGTCAGTCGAACCCATCTCGCGCATTGGACACAAGCACTGCGTCCCTCGAACGTCTGCGGTCGTCAACGATCAATCCGACGACGAATATTTGGATTCTCGTTCGTGGCCCATGAGTGCCGTGACGGCACTTATCATCACTTGAGAGTGGCAGGTTCTATGCCATGCTTAAAAAGCACGGTAACAGCTTGGACTCGTCGCTTCCGTTAAAATACTACGTCACGACCACATGATTTTTCATTTTGCGTTTGAGTTGGGAAGAAAAACTAAGGAGGAAGAAGTTGAAAAATAATTTTATGGTTCCTTTAAAATGGAGGAAAAGTCCATGTAAGCGTCGCATCGTAATATAAAAAATCTACAGCTTTTTTTTTCTTTTTTTTTTTTTTGGGGGGGGGGGGGGGAATTAAAATAGCGCTTGAGAAGCCCACGAAACAACGCACAAAGAAAACTACCCCAGCTCGCGACAGGCCCTTGCTTTTGCCGCTTCACTCGATGCTTGACTGTGCTAGTCAACACACTGCCAACGTAAAGCGGAGAACCTGTCAAAAGCACTGATACCACTGAGCTGCACATGGGATTCTATTTTGTTATTTATTTATTGTAATTAGAAATCTCGAGGGGAGCAGCGCGGCCCGAGCAAGGGAGGATCACAACAGGCGTGGCAATATAGTCACCGAAGGGATGAGAACAGCGGGGCGTTTCTCTCGAATGGCAGTCGCCAGCACACTCTCGTTGCCTTCCACCGTGCTTTGACTGCGCGAGCACGCTCGAGGCTCGCGAGACGCCGAAGCGTTATCGAAGGTAGGACGCTCCCGCAGGAAGCGGGACAACTGAAACACCTCCATGCCGTTCTCATTCGAGCGTCGTGTGTGCATTCACCAAGCAACGACGATGAGACGCCTCATATAAAGCGAGAGTACCTTCCATGGTCTCGATGAAGAGAGTGAATCAAAATGATACGATTCTGATGTGTACGTTATGTACCTTATCACGAATACAGTCGACCATTTTCAAAATTTACTAGAATATTGAGCCGCCGTTAGACTCGGTGATTACTAACACTGATAGACAACTTTGAACTCCTATGATCAAAGCCAAAGTGGCTTTGATCACATGAGTTCAAAGCCAAAGCTAGGGGGCCATAGTATAGGGGGCTAGTCGTAACGATCAGTGGTTAATTATGTAAAATCCGCTAAATAGCTTTTGAATTAGTGAAAATAGGCATAGGGTTCCAATGAAAAACTTGCTGAACGTCAACATAAAGCACTAAATCGGTAATTTTCAGAAAATCTCAGCACGTGAGAAGCGCAGTAGTTCACTAAATTTAACACTTCTGCAGCAGGAGTAAGGCTGCCGGTACGATAACGCGCAAACGCAATTTTTTCGTCCCTAATCATAAGCCCCAGCCTTGTTCCTTTTGCACTCGTGGTACCTTTAACGCACTCCTACGCTTCCCACGTGCTCCAATATTTATACTAAGTTGTTGACCTTGTGGTTTTCGATGACGCTCAGCAAGTTTCTAATTGGAACCATTCGTCTACTTTCAATAATTAAAGTTACTTATAAACTTTATTGGCCGACTGATTGTCACGATCAGCCCCCTCTACTAGGTCCCTCTAGCCATATAACTCACCTGCACAAACAGCATACGTGTAGCTCTCAAGGCTTTTTTTTTTTTTTAATTCTGCAAAACTTTAAAAAATAAACACCCTCTGTTTAGGTGCATCGTAGATTAGCTTTGTGTTACTTTCTCAAGACCTGCATGTCTCAAACGATTTGTTTCTTTCTTCGAAGACCAAACTTTGTAAGATCTGCCTCGCTCAGTGCATGAACGTTGCGCGAAAGGTCCTTTTTCTTGGTGCAACAAGTGACTACTACCTTCAAGCTAAATCTTTAGGAAGAAAAGTTAAAAAAGAAAAGATGATGAAGCAAATAGTGTTGAATAGAAAATTGTTCTGTCAAGAAAGCCTCGTGTTTTTTTTTAAGCTATTGAGTTTCTAATTCATGGTACAATTGTGTTAAAGCCCTAAACATTTTCAAAGTTACTTTATTTCCGGTGCCAAAAAATAAGTCCCGCCGGAAATTATGAACCCTACTATATTTAGTGAGTGCCGAAAAATCGACTGAAGTTTATTGTTTTTTGTGCGTGTATATTTCAGAACGTACTACTCGTGGGGCGACCACAGGTTAGAGTGCATTGGAGAGAATGGGCAGCACAAACTCTGCAACGTGGAGGTGAGTACCCTTCATTTGCGAGCAGGTAAATTTACCGTGTAACGTGAATACATCAATGGGCTGTTTGATGCGTGCGCATGCTCCTGAGACTAGGAACGGAGCCGTATATGAAGAAAGTTAGGTTAATCATTGCAATAATCGACATGAATATAGGAGAAGACCGAATATGCTAAACGCTGATTGTTCGGTAAGTGCGCATGCGCTGTAAAATATAAGTAGGATTCCGTATTTTTGGAGTTCACATATCGTAGAATTCTGGGGGTGTTTTAACTTCCCCCCCCCCCCCCCCAAAAAAAAATCCGGGCTTACTGAATTTTATTTAATATTGATGCAGGATTCACCAAAATTAGGAGTTTAACCTTACTGCGTTTCTTATTCTTCGTAATTCAATATAGAAACAAATATCCCGACAGCAACCTCCCTTAAATTATTAAGGACTTGCCTGTCTGGGATGATGTTTCTTCAGCTGGACTGGGCATTCGCGCCCTTGCCATTGGTAGCACTGACTGAGAGCGAAACGTCCAAACAAGTGGGTAATTTAAAATCGCTGAAATCGTTGAACTAATCTCCGTAAAGCTCCTTTTCTTTTCATCCCATTGCAACGCTCCACCCTGCCGCTGCGCGAACTGGAGTGAGTGGTTCTTCCTCCCATTATTTTTTTTTCACTGTTATAAAAAACCAAATCCACTTCATCTAAGAAGTCCACACGAAAAATAACTTGGAAAGTTGTTTTTATCGCGACCCAAAATTACAATAACCCGTTGTCCTGAACAAAACTTGACGAGACAAACGGTAAACCGTCTTTTGTCAATAATCCAAGATTTAAAAAGAAACAGGAGTCGTCCCTCCTCAGGTTCATTGACCCTCTGCTCCGACCAAGCTTATCTGTAGAATTCCGTTATTTTCGTTGGTTTTCTCGCCATCTTGACATCGAAGTTCGGACTTTTCCGGATAAACCCGAATTGAGAAAATTGTAACCAGCGAGTGTCTTTTTTTTTTCTTTTTAGATTTTATCAGAGTTATTCGAAACCATGAAATCTTAATTATAAGTCAGAATGCTCCCTAGCGGTGGTAGGGGGCCAAAAATCTAAGCCCCAACTGATTGCTTTGTTTTATAACGCTGGGGTTTAAAGTTATACCCGGTGGTGGTCTAAAAGGAGGTGCTATAGTCTCTATTTGAATGAGGAAAGAAACAATTCAACTTACGCCTGTTGGCCTGTCCGTTAAGCTTGTTTTTCATAGCTTTTTTTTTATATAAGTTGACGTTACAGGTTTTGTTTTATTACTTCTCCGGTCGTGAAAACTGTTTAGGTTATATTTATTTCCTTTTGTAACAGCAAGACAAACGTGTGACTTCAAAGGCGGCGCCACCGGCTCCGCCGCTGCTTTGTGAATATGCATATTGAAGCAGAAGGCTACTGGTATGCAGGTGATTGGCTGTTCAAAGTACTGTCTGCCCACAGGAGTGCCCTCCTGGCAGCAGTGGTTACACGGACCAGCAGTGCTCGGCTTTTAACGATCGCCTCGTCGCCGGTCGTCGTTCTGTCAAGTGGCTCGCCGTCGAGGAACACCCACAGAGTAAAGGTTTCTTTCTTTGTCCACTACTTGCCGGAAGATTTGACCGGTTCACGCATTGCGGAAAAGAGGGGGACTACGGCTCTGCCCTACACTTAAGGAGACACTTGACTACCTCAAAGATATTTTTTAATCACGTGATAGTTCCAAAGTGAACTTCTCTTCGAACAACATTTCAGCTCTTTTTTTTTTGTAAGGAGCGTTTCCAAACATGCTTCTCTTTTGAGATGTTTCAAAATTTCGAAACATACTCCTTGAGGTACGTTTTCAAGTCACTTCTAACCCGAAATAGGTATCGCAAAGTAAATATGGTGTTCACAATTTTTTCAGGGGAAATCTTATTTTACGACATATATATTAATAAAAATTCTTTTAGTTCAGTATTTTTTTTAACAGAAAGGATACTGCGTGAGCGACGTCAAAATTGTTCCAGGTGCCGATCAGTAAACTTGCTTCTGCACTGAAAGTAACTTTGAAAGGCAAGAGATTGTGTTCCCATCCTAGGCAGGGCATTGCTAGCCTGTGGGCCGGGTTCTTCGCTTGACGTGCGAGCACAAATAGCCACATGGTTAATAGGAAAGGATGTACAAACATGTACAGACTATAGGCGGTGCTCGGTGGATAACGCGTAGTTTTTTTTTTTTTGTTTTGTTTAGAGCACATGCTCAGAAACAAACTCTCACGTGTCTTTTCCTAGGGCCAAAACACCTATACGTGTAGTCTAAAATTGTTGACGGCGCTCAACACGCGCTTAGCAACAACGGGCTTAGTCATGACCGCCAGTTATTACCAAACATACACAGTTAAAAACACGGCTTGTAACCGATGTGTGCTGGCACATGCATCAGCCCCTGAATGTAGCTTTGGCAGGATTGAAGTTTTTGAGCGATTCACCCTCACGAGCAGAGACACACACTAACAGTTGGGATCCCATCACAGTTAGAACTATTGAGAGATCACCGGAACTCATCTTCTAACAGAGAATGTTTTGTTTTTTTTTTCAGACGATTTCCCTGAATCTCTGAAACATTTTGACGTAACGCCCGGCTGTAATGGCCGATTGTAACCACACCGAGAAGCATTGCGCCCAAAGGGGATTATATGGAAAGATTTCAGTCCCCCGGCAGGACTTGAACTCCCCACCTTGAGATTATGAACCAGCTGCTTTGCTGACTGGGTTATTCAGGGAAGGCGAAGTCATTCGCGGTGTACGCTTACGCGCGGTCGCGCTTCTCGCGGCCTTTTCTGCCGCTTTTGCCATCTCTCTGTGTGTGTAGGAAACGAAAGCAAATGTTTGTTAAGCGCTGCCGTTCAGGTGCATCTCTCTTCTCCCTGAAAGACATATTTCAAGTTTTGTGCTTGTATATTTTTGTTTATTTTCGGAACTAGAATTTAGGTATCAAAATGGCTATGGTGATTAGATGTGCAATGCCAACATAAACGACCAAATTTGGTATTCAACGCTACCCTTCATTTCCAAAGTTCCGAAAGTACGATAATATTGTGTCCGCACTTGCTGCGCCGCAAAATGGACGAGTTCTCTCCAAACGTGACGCCGCTGCAAGACTGTCAACTTTTGGCCCTGTTTCGTGCCATTTCTGGGCCTACTGGTCGAACTGCCTGTTAAATTTTTGACTCCCCAATATAAAATAAAACAGCCTGGAAAAACATTTCAGCTAAAGCAGTGACCTATCTACCTTTGGGTAGTCCACAATTCTTTTTAGCAACTGATGAGATAGAATTATACTAAACAATTATTTGTTGTCGAGATGTAAGAACGTCGAGCTTGGTTTTCACGGCAACTCAGCGTCAATCGACACTCGAGAAAAGTAGATTCTAGCTTCAAAAACATTTCAACCTGCTCCGCCTCCACATAAAGTTCATTTTTAGCTTTACTAAAGCTTTGTTGTCGGTGCAGGTCGAAATCCCTGCGAGCTGCGGTGCCGGTCGCATGATTCAACGATGACCCTGAGCTTCGGCAAGATGGCAAACGGCACTCGTTGCGGCCAGTCTAGCGTCTGTATCAACGGACGCTGCGTTGTAAGTTGTTTATTTTATGCCAACGTCACAACACTTCAGGGTATATGCAATATGACACAACGTGTCTGCGAGCCATCGGGTGGACATGCAGGTTGTGCTTGAGACAAATTTTTTTGACAAAAACAATAACTGTGTTTTTTATCAGGCCACATTATATCGGACATCTGACTAACGTTGTGAAAAAAAATTCTGCTGTCACATTGCCGCTTTCTAAGGCAAAGCCCTAGAAAGTGCTTCCAATCCTCCACCTACCATAGGGTGGAGGCATGAATGATATTCTGAAGAATTACCGTGGATAGGACAAAAGTCAAAGTTGCACGACAGGCTACATTGTATCAAGCTCCTGACATGCGTAGCCCGATTATTTCTGCTCTCATGGAAGCCTTTCTGAGGTTTAAGCCTACAGAGGGCTCCTAAAGCGCCACTACTATCACTGTCGTCGGCTGCGTTCACTGCAACCTAAGCTTGATTCAGTGAGCTCTGCTGGCAGCATTATCTAGCTGAAACTACACCAGAAACAAAATCACTACGTGCCGTACACCTACATGCAACCACCCTGAAGAGCAGTCACAATAAGCAGTTGCAATTTTATTAAAGCCTTTTTTTATATTTCTCCACCACTTAGTTGTTCTTTCCGATAGACTTGATCAAACCGTGTAAAGGGGCTGATTGATAGAGGTATACCAATCATGATTTCCGTGCTTCGTAGGTTTGCATCTCTTTCGTTGCAGCAAATGTAACGCACGCAAGTATTTAAGGCTCTGAAACGAAGGGCTCTCATTACACGAGCTCGTTGCCGGTGCTTTTCTTGCAGGTAGTTGGCTGTGACGGCCTGGTCGGATCGACGGTGCGAGCCGACATGTGCGGAGTCTGTGGTGGCCGGAATTTCTCCTGCGTTCAGGTGCAACAGATGTATTCTTCGAAGAAAGGTGAACTACTTCCTCAAAACCTAACTTACAGGGCCCGACAACTTCCGCAGGCTCTGTCAAGCACTCCCTGCTATGGCGGCATGAGCTCTTCTTTGTTGCTTTTCTTCCTGTGTACGTTGGCCGTCATTTATATGAACTCTGAAGTTTCGGTGAAGTGATAAATTGACTTGATTCATATCTTTGACCCGGCATGTTTTACGTAATCCTACTAGTATACCAAGTACTGTGATTAGGTTTTCCCTTTTTCGAGTGTGTCTGTGTGACAAGTGTCAGTTTTTTGTTGAATGGAGCAGTCGTCTGCAGTACCTTATGTTCTGGAACTTTGTTTGACACCTGTTGATGATGCGTAAGCATAAAAAGGTAGATAACAGGGTCTACTTTCCATGTCTGCCAGCAGCGTTTGTTTCTTGTAGCTTTGTGAAACTCGCAAGATGCCCGCGTACATCAGTGGAGCGAAACTTGCAGTGGGCTCGGTATCACATGGGTCATGGTCATTTTCTTGCCTTGCATTGTTACACCAGAATTAGTCTCGTCATTTTAAAATATATATATACTGCAAACGCCTTAATTTTCGCGAGGACCTAATCTTCGCGAATTTCGCGATTTGCCTACGATTCGCAAAAAATGGGTCCCGCGAACAATTCCGTACAATGTAAACACATTGGATTCTATATTGAGATCCTACCGCGTCACAAAAATCAGAACCCGCGAATTATTGCAAAAACACTTGGGCTATAACCTAAATCGCGAAATATTGAGCCCGCGAAAAATTGTTTGTTTAGAGTATATATTTCTAATATTATCGAGGTATTTTAAACGTGGAAAGTTTTGTCAAGGAAAGTACATGCCACTATTGCAAGCATTCCCATGCGCTCAAACTTTTGTAGAGTTTAGTTACTTGTGGATTCAAGTTACTGTTAAATTTCGTGGCTCACAGCAAAGACTGCAGATATAGGATTTTTGCATTAGCGCATTCCCAGTCGAAAATTTTACCAACTCTTCCTGACCGCATCTGTGGTACTTCTTGCTGTTCACATTGAGATAAAAGAAACTGTTCAGTAACTCGGGTCTTTGAGTTTACGTAAATCTGGGCAATAGCTCTGCCAGTGGAATAGGGCATGCACCAATGCCTTGGGCTTTGAAAAAAAAAAAACAGTTTCCTACCCATGTGCAGTAAATTAATCCCTCGCCAAACGTGTTTTCTTTTTAAACATATTTTTTGTAATCTTGCTCGCTCATTACGTGACCGCCAAGTAGCAGGGGTTAAGATATTGTTAAACATTTTGCCCTTTTTGGAATTACTTTAAAAGCCCTTGTTCCGAGTTTCGACACTGGAGATAAATGCGCTACGCTGAGGTTTAGATGATTTTGTAGCCGGTGGGGAAGTTTTGCCATGATAAGGTGAAACGTTTGCCCTTTCTTTCCTGACACTGGTCAGAGAGCTGGCGTACCTAATTGTGAACCTGTTGCGTTTCAGGCGAACTCTTCAATCTCACCGCTGTGACCGTGATTCCCAGTGGTGCCACCAGCATCTACATTGAGGAACACACCTTGAACACGCTTTGTAAGAAATTCTTGTGTCATCAGTCATCAATATGTATTTGATCGACCGATCATTAGAACTGGAAAACCAAGGTGGCTATGCCAAAGTTATTTTGTCATGCAGGTTTTTATACTTATTTCATTACAAAAAAAACACGAAGAAACATGACGCTTTGTTACCATATTTACATTTTTAAAAGGTGCTAGGCTAAAATGTGTTCAAGAACCATAATCCAGCCACTTTGTTTCAGGTATTCATGAAAACTAAGGTACACATAGAGTACGTAGATTGAGTCTGCTCAGCATACGGATACGAGTTACATTGTGGCGTCGTACTTGGAGAAGTACGCTTTCGTCAAAGCGTATCAGTTTTCTCACCGAGGATTAAGCTTTCGAAGTATAAAGCGTTTTTTAGTTTGTATCTCGCACAGGGCCGACCTTATTCATTAAAGGTACATAGGAAGTACATTACATGAGGGGTACAAGAAGACAAATTTAAGCAACAGGTAAATCCGTAGAAAACAGCTGAATGATTAGGAACATAGTGTATACAAATATCGACCACAACAAAATTAAAAAAAAAAAGGAACAGTAGGTGGCGGTAACTAAACATGGTAATTATGAACAGTTTGGGGTGTGCATTTCAAAGATTTCTGAGTTTATCGTGATTTGTTTTGTTTAAATAATTCGAGGAACAGAATTCTAGTTACTAATGTCAAGAGCCGGTGGGGAGTTCCTAAATTTATAAGTTTTCACTAATAATATCTTAATTTTTAGGTTATGGTCAAGGCACGTGGAAATGTGTGATGGCGGTTGAAAGTAAAGGTCACGAAAAGAGAAGGAAGAGAATATTTTGCGGAAGCCTACAAGACGGGAGAGATTGGTTTTTTAAGAGAATGGGCACAAGTTGAGAGACAATTTTAGTGCAGATGTGCTGGATTTTCCATAGTAGTCCTGTGATATGAAACAGCTTGCCTTGTTTTGAACAATTTCTGGTTCTTTGATAAGTGAGGATTGATCAGGTCAAAAAATAAAGTTAGATTAGTTTAATTTAGATCTTACAAAAGTTTTGTAGGCAGTTAGTTTAAGAGAACGTAGGGTGCGGTATAAGTTACGTTTAATATATCCCAAGGATTCACAAGCCCTAGTAACTATAGTCTTATTATGAGTATTCTAATTGAGGTCGTCAGAAGATATTACACCTTGATATTTATAGTTTGACACTTTTTCAAGGGGCAGCATTATCAAGGAGTAGTTACGCGCTGCTGGGTTAAGTTGACCAGTGAATGTGAGTAGCTCACACTGTTTAGATTTACTTCCATTTGGCACGTATCGCACCACTTTGAAGATATATGGAAATCCTGCTGTAATAAGTCATCGGGGTTAGCAGTACCATGATAAATAATAATACTAATAATAATAATCATAATAATAATAATCATAATAATTTTTACTTGCGCCATAAGGTGGTTGCGATCAGGGAAAAAAGCTGCCAGGTACAGCTTGACGGGTCCCTGACCGCCTACAGAAAGCAGCAACAGAGCCGGGAAAACCAGTAATCAATAGAAAAAAAAATATACAAAGATTGTCGCTATCAGAACATTGTGAGCAGAAATATTGGATTTTTTTTTACATTGAGGCATGAAGGACTGCAAAGATATAATCATACAAAACTAGGCACAAAAACACAAGGAAAGGCAACTACCTCTAGCTGCTAAAGAAAAAGAATGATCTTGCTTCTCTATGGGATAACTTATCCTAATATTTACTTTTTGGTCATATACAAATTGAGTAGAATGGGGATAGTTTATTTAGGCATGTGTTTGCCATAGTTTTTTCTTGGTGTAGCCACCTCCCAACGTTCAGCATCACGGGTAGGGTAACTATGAACATTTTTTGATAAGTGTCCAAGATCTATTAAAAAATTGTTTCTTTAAGCTACTCTACTTTGACGCTAGTGCTAAGCCTATAATCATATAATGTATGCACGTTTATAACGCGAAATTTCTGAAATAATAAGCCAGCTGGGTGAAAATCGTACGAGACAGCAGCTATAGCCCTAGTGTTTTTTGTTTCTTTTTTTTTTGCAATACATGTAACTTTTTCAGATTTGTTAAAGTTGTTCCCCAAACTAAATGCCAATAATTTGGGTGACAATAAAATAGAGGATTATATATTATTAATTTAACGGTTGTTGGTAAATAATTACGATGACGATTTAAAAAGCCCACAATTTGGGATAGCTTTAGAATAGGAGAGTTTATACGACTTTTCCACGACATATTTTCAGAGAAAGTGACACCTAAGAGTTAAAAAACAATTCACAATCTCGATTTTGGTTGAATTCAAAAATATGTCCTTGGTAAGGGTAACGAGTCTATTTTTAGGACGAAAAATCATGGCTTTTGCTTTTCTTCACTTTTATTTGTAATACGTTGTTGACTCCACGTTTGTAACCTAGACAGTGCCAAATTTGTCATATCGAATAACAGATCACTATTATCTGCAGAAAACAGTATACTCGTGTCATTATATGAATCACGTATATGTTCAAAAAATATGACTATATGAATCACGTGTATGTTCAAAAGGAAGGGGCACAATATATTACCCTGTGGTACACCAGAAAGAATAGGCTTTATAGCGGAGGAATTCTCATTGATATAAACATATTGCGTTCGATGCTCCAGATAAGATCTCATCAGCTGTAAAGCGTGCCCTCGAATTCCATAGTTATCTGATTTTGATATTAAAATTTTATGATTGAGGCAGTCAAACGCTTTGGTAAAATCTATGAAGACTTCAAGAACCATATTTTGATTTTCAAAGCATTGTAAAATAAATTTTTTTAGAACAAGTAAGGTAGATTCAGTCGACTTGTGTTTTATAAATCCATACTGTGATGCAATTATCAAGTTATATTTACTTGAAAAATTAGTAAAACACGCATGAAGAACTTTTTCGAGCGCCTTGGAAAACACTGGTAATATTGAAATTGGCCTGCAGTTTCCCATTTAATTTACATTTCCTTTTTTATGCAATACTGAAACCTTGGCAATCTGCATTCGCGTAGGAAAAGCTCCGGTGGATAAAGAGATATTAAATATGAGTTATTACAGGTGGTAACAAGTGAATAACATGCTTTACAGATCTGGATGCCATCTACATCAGTCACAGCTGCAACTATTTTTAAGCTGGAGAAACACGCTTATAACTTCTGGTTCGACGACTGGATGTAAAAATATCGAGTCACTGTTTCTTTTATCATTTAAAACCAAAGGAGTTTCGGTTTCAATGGTATTCAGAATATTTACAAAATGTTCGTTAAAAGCATTTGCCAGTGAACACCTAGTAAGTTCAGTACCATTGTGCAGAATTTTTGAGATTGAACTGAATGGGCGATTACGATAAAGATGATAATTTAGTTGCTTCCACAGGATGTCAGTGCGTACTTTTGCAGCCTTGAACAGATCAAAATGATAACGCGCTCTTGTGCGCTTTAGTTCTTTTGTTAGGACGTTGCGATAGTGTTTAAATATGTTAAGGCCCTTCTGGTCATTAGATTTCATTAATTCACCATATAAAAGTTTTTTACCTTAACTTCACAGAGAAAATCTCACGTTATTCAATGCTTTTTTGTGCGCTTGTTTGTTTTTATAGAAGTTAAAGGAAAATGTGTTTTATACAGTCCAAAAAATAACTGAATAAAAGTGTTACAAGCCCCATGATCACTTTCTTCACAAAGTACACTGCTCCAATTTGTATTTGAAACAGCGGTCTGAAAAGCGTTGAGTCAATCTAAAGTTATTGTTTGTACTATAGTCCGCTCTGTCCTGCAAGTTTTCTTCGGGATACTTTTGAGAGAAATAAACATTGGGAGGTGGTCACCCAGATCACAAGCAATGACGCCAGCTTTTATATAATCGATTGAGCAGTTCAAAATAAACAGCATAAATTAATGTTTCAGATTGGAGAGTAACCCGTGTAGGTCTATTAATTACATTTGTACAACTATTTGTACTCATTAGCGAGTCTAAACTTTTTTTAGCAACGGCTTCTGCGCTCATATCAACATTAAAGTCCCCACCGCAAATCACAGTACATTTTTCTTCATTAACAAAAACCAAAAAAGACTCGAAAATTTTAAAAATGATTCAATGTTGCCGTTTGGTGGTCGGTACACCACAGCAGAGATATTCCGGTTATTGCGTATACACATCATTTCATAGTCTTGATGGATGCAACTATAATCGCCTACTAGCTCACCAGAAACACTTTTAGTCAAAATTGCTAAGCCACCACCGTATTTCTCTTAACGATTTATGTAAAAAGAGCTATATGTAGGAAGTTGTAGTACATCAGTCTCTTCAGTGTACCAGGTTTCTGTAAGCATGATTACGTCGAAAAAAAACCAAATTGATCGAAAAGTAGCTCAAGATCTACAGCTTTGCTTTTCGCTGACCGAACATCTAAATGGAAACAGGTCATGTGTGAAATATAATCTGCACCGAAAGAGCTTACCAACTTTTGTGGTAGAACGAACGCGTCAATCGCTATAAAAACAAAAAGAACAGAGGATATTATCGTTGACCGCCCTAAGATAAGATCTTGCAAAAATGCCCCTCTTTATCGTGGGGAAAGTGAGTTTTGAAGATAACGCCGTCGTGATAGCCGTACTCAGTTTGTTTTTCTGCCACGCGGCAAGTAAACTTTCGGGTTTCTTATGCAAGAAGTAATAAAACAGAGGTTTATTGCTAGTAGTTCTTACTTAATTTTTTTCAAGATCCCCTTCGTGCTCAGTTCAAATCGTCGGTGCGCCCTCTTGGTTTCTTCACGTATGAACAACCCTCTTTATGCCAAATCAACTTCTAGCTGAGGTACTTTGCCTTTGTTCTAACATCGTGGAACAACTGCCTGTTTGACTCCGTCATGTTCTCTTGCAGATACACGTTGCTATCATCTGCTTCCGACCTCAACTTCTGCTTGTTTTGAAGCCATGCTTTCGCTCATTTCTGTTCACAT